AAACTTCTTGAGCGTTGTAGGAAACGTGGGATGCGTGTACCCATTTAAAAGTCATCTGGATGGGTACATGAACAGGAAAGACTTAGAGGGATATGAGCCAAATTCTGGCAAATGGAGTTAGATGAATTTAGACATCTAGTTGGCACAGATGAGTTGGACGGAAGGGTCTGTTTTCATGCTGTACAACTGTATGTATTCCATCACATTCCTTACTTATAGGTGGTGGACAGGCTTTGGGAAGTCAGGAGGTGAGTTATTTGCTGCATTATTCATTCCCTCTGATCTGCTCTTGTAACTATTGTACTTATGTGGCAAGTCCAGTTGTGTTTGCAGTCAAAGGTCATCTCCAAGATATTGATAATGGGAGATTCAGTGATGGTAATGCCACTGAAAGGTTAGATTTTGTCTTCTCGGAGATAGTCGTCATATGGCATTGAGTTTCATAGTTTCAGAATAAATCTATCTCGTGATCTGCTTACAGAAAGTAAATGCTTAAGAAAAATCATTCTGGCTTTTTTTTTCTAAACTTGTATGAGCATGATTCGTTAGCAAACCTGCCCTTTGATCTATAGGAGGAGATATGGTTTTGGTCATATCTAATGTCAACCAGATTCATATATTGCAGGAACAACTTAAGCTAAGAACGCATGCATCCTTTTTAAAAAAAAATGTGTTGGAAGAATAATTAAAATGCTTGCTTAATAATTAAAATTGTTTCCCCTCCTTCTAAATCCAAACAACAAGGATTCCTGTACCTGACTGATAGGCAGTACTTCCTGTTGAAAGTTTGTGTGCATCTGGATTGATAGATTGATGTGGATTTATTATACCATCCACAGTAAGGTAGCCTGCCAATGACCTAAGTGCCTTCAGATTATAAAACATGGACTGCAGCAGTTTGGAAAGGGAGCTCACTACCACCTTCTCAATGTTATCCAGGAATAGACAACAGATACTATGTCAGCCAGTGACAGCCACGTCGCATGAGTGAATAAAAGAAATACAAGAGATAGCTGATTGAATAAACAGCTAAAATCTATATTTATTGTAATTTGTGTGACTGTTAAGAACTAGTTTATGACCAAATTCATTGGTTAGCTTATTCTCTTTCAATTGTTCTTGGGTAGTTATTGCTATTGACAGTAAATGCTCAGAGTAAATCCTGTGCTCAACAGCAGACTAACTGCTGATCACTTGATGAATTTGCTACCAATGCTCAGGAGGTTTCTGCTGTGCTGCTCATAAAGCAATAGATGTAAATCCTGTCTCATCCATTTAAGGATGAACCTGTTTAGTGCATATTATCGAAAGCAAATTTTCTACTGCATGTCTGTTATGTTTAGCATGAGGCAATAATCATTTTCAGTTTCATATTTTTCACCCTCAGCTCACAGTATCATTCAACAGGCAAGCATGATCTGTGTTACAGCTCTGTGATTCTTAGGAATAAATGTAATAAATGGATATATTGGTGAATTTATCTGCCACTTTACTTTTAATGCAATGTTTTATGCATTAGAATTGTAACTCATACTTAGCTTGGAAACAGCCATTCTTTAAAATATAAAATAAAGAACTGTGCATGCTGGAGATCTGAAACAAATGAAAACAAATCACTGAAGAAACTCAGGTCTGGCAGCATCAATGAAGAGAAGAACAATAGTTCGAGTCAGTGACCCCCTTGTCAGAACTGAAACTTCTGATGAAGAGTCGTTGGACTCAAAACTTTGATTCTTCTCCCTACAGATGCTGCCAGACCTGCTGAGTTTCTCCAGAAATTTCTTTTATTCTTTATTCACAGTATGGGAGGTTCTGTTCTTGGTACGAAGGGAATGATAACTGTATAAAACACTTCCTGTTTCTTATGATGCTAGAATGTGAATTTGTGATATCAATTAAATCTGGAGAATTTTGCACAATTTTCAATCAGTTGCTGATGCAAACGTAAAGTCCTCCCCCTCCACACTGTATTTGCAATTAGCCAAATTATCTCTTTCCACATCTAATTTTATTACTTGACAAGAAAATTCTGTCTAAAATCTTGCTGATCATTAGTGTAAGGAATTCTCTGGAGTATCGTTCCAGCTCCAGTGTTAAAGCTTGGTAAGCTACTTTTAAAGCAACCTTTCCACTGCAGTGCTCAGGCAACGTTTGACCAAATTTGACTGCCATTAAAGAGCTTCGGCAAGGTTGAAGAATGGGGGAGGGTATTGAGTAATACTGGAGACATCTTTGCGGGAGCTCCTCAAGGTAGTGCCCATGGCCCAAGCATCTTCATCTGCTTCATCAATGACTTCCGACCATCATAAAGTGAAATGAGGATGGCCCATGATTATAGCACAGTGTTCAATACATTACCAACTCAGATCCTGAAGTAGTCCATGTCCGTGACAAGATCTGGATAATTGGGTTTAGACTGATACGAGGCAAGAAACATTCAAACTATACAAGTGCTAGTGAAAGACCGTTTGCCCTTGATGTTCAACAGCATGGTTATTGATGAATTAGCCATCATAAACATTCTGTGGGTTACCCTTGACTAGAAACTAAGCTGGACCAGACAAATAAATGTTGTGGCCACAAATACAGGTCACAGGCTGGGAAACAATACGATGAATAACTCACCTCCTAACTCCCCAAAACCTTCCTGGCATCTACAGTGCACAATTCAGATGTGTGATGTAGCACTTTCCACTTGCCTGGATGAGTTCAACAACACTGATGAAGATCAACACAATTCAGGACAAAGTAGCCCTTTTTTTGGAATGCCATTCCTCATGTTAAATATACAGTCCCTTCACCAGAGGTGTACAGTGCCTGCAGCTTGAAGCATTTGCAAAATACATTGCAGAAGTTCAAGAAGTTTCACTGAGCAGTGCCTTCCAAGAACAAGCCAAATGCAAGCAGCACCACCTGCAAACTACTAACTTGGAACGAGATCAATTCCCAGCCCTCTTCAACTGTTTCATCAATCTATACTGTCCATGGTAAAGTTTGAAATGGAGATGTTTGCTGATAATTGCAAAACGTTCAGTAACGTTTGCGACACCTCAGATATTGAAGTGGCCTGTGTTCACGTGCAGTATGACCTGGACAACATCCAGGCTTAGGCTGATAAGTGGCAAGAAAGATTTATGCCACACAGTTCTCCAGCAAGAGAAGTCCTTTGACGATCACTGGAATTGCCATCACTAAATCCCCCACTGCCAGCATTCTGAGTATTACCATTGACCAGAAAGTGAACTGGAACAGCCTTATAAATACTATAGCCACAGCAGCAACTCAGTGGCTAGGAACTCAGCAAGTAACTCATCTCCTGTTTTTCCAATATATTTTCCAATGTCTGTCTGCCAAATACAAGATACCGGTTCAGGAGTATGTTGGAATACTTTCCACTTGTGTGGATGAGTGTAGCTGAGAAGTTTGATAACATCCAGGTCAAAGCAACGCACTTGACTGGAACCCCACCCACCAATTTCAACATCACTCCCTTCATAACCAGTGCACAATGGCACTTAAGGGGAGGTGATGGTGTAATTGTAATGTTGCTGGTCTAGTAATCCATAATCCCAAGTGAATGTTCTGAGGACTTGAGTTTGAATCCCACCTTAGCAGATGGTGATGTTTGAATTCAATAAAAATCTGCAATAAAAAGATAGCCTAATGATGACCTTGATACCCCTTTCGGTTGTCGTAAAAACCCATTGGTTTGCAAATATCTTTTAGGGAAGGAGATTTGCCATCTTTAGGCAGTCTGGCCTCCATGTGACTCCAGCTAAGTGCTCGACTTAGAACTGCCCTCTGGGTAATTACGAATAATTACGAATGCTGGCCCAGCCAATGGTATCTTCATCTCAAGTTCATCTTCAACTGTGCTACCTAGAAGAGCAATGGCAGCAGATGCATCATCATCTACAAGTTCCCTTTCAGGTGACACAGAGTTCTGACACGGAACTCTGTCACCGTTGTTTCACTGTTGCTGAGTCAAAGTCTTGGAATTCCCTTTGTAGCAACATTGTGAAGATCTCTTACACACCAAAGACAACAGTGGTTCGAGTAGGCAGCTCAATACTACCTTGTTCACTGCAAGTAGGGATAGGAAGTAAATGTTGACTCAGTCAGTGATCCCATGAATGAATTTTAAAAAGTTCCTTTGCTTTCATTGGGTAAAAATCCTGAAACTACCAATTAGACAGCAACAATTCGAGGAGATGGCTGCCACAAGCTTTCCAAGGACCGTTAGAGATGGGCTAAGAAAGCTTAAATTCCATGATATAATGAATAAAATTATGTGCATCTACCCATCCTATTTTTGTATTTTTCTTTTGTTTGCCTTCTATTAATGCCTCTGTCTCTCTCATTAATGGTGCAGCTTTCTCTCTCCCTATTAACTCTTCCTTCCAGAGCAAACAAGAATAGGCAAAAACTGAATTTGCAGTTCATGATTGTGAACTCCTGTGTGGTGGACAAATGTAGCAGCTTTTGCACGCTCTTACTGAATGTTTGTTCTGTGGTGATTCAATGTGAGTTTTATATTTGAACAGAATTTCTTTTTGCTAAAGGTCAGCACCACATTAAACCTGCATTGTATTTTACAAGACAACTTCATTTAACGTGCAGTGACAGGATATCCTGTGATTGACATCCCAAGTAATCACACACGAGTTCAAACGCAGCAAGCCACTTGTCCTGCCAAGAGTGAAAATGACATTTTCAACACTAGTTTGTGCGGTTTAAGGACAGGAGTTTGTCTATTAAATCTGGTTCAGTCAAAGTGTAGATTTTTGATAAGCAGCAATTCGTACCTAGTGTCTTTCTTAGTCAACATATTGAGCAAGTACAATATAAACACATGAGTTATTTTAGAACCTCTCCTCAATTCAACAATGCCACTTAAAACAATTACCTTCCTATACTTGCTGCCGAGAGTTATCATTTTCATTCTTTGTTAATAGTCTCTTTTTGACATATTAAAAATTGTGCTTTTCTGTTTTTTTTAGTGTTTTAAGTCCAGATGTCGATCCTGCCATTGCCTTCCAGCGAGAAGGATTTGGCCGTCAGAGCATGTCTGAAAAACGTACCAAACAGTTTGGAGATGCCACTCAGCTGGACTTTGTTAAAACGCGGAAATCTAAAAGCATGGACTTAGGTAGAACTCAGCTATTTTCTATTCATCTACGTGAAGCATGAAAATCTTAAAAGCGTGGATTTAAGGAGGCTCGCTATGTTTTCTGTCTTCGCTATGCTTTCTTTTTATAGCTTGAACATTAGATCATTTTGGAGTTTCCACTGCTATCCTTTTGATCAACAAATCTTTGTGCATTAGACCGACAAACCAGTTGACAAATGATATGGATAAATAAACATGAGTTCAAAATTAGGAAAGGTATCCCATTTCGAACATTTATTGCAGCCTAATAAGTAGGGTTCATTCAAATTAATTTCCTTTGAATTTTGCATGAGCAGATTCTTCTTTCTGACCAAGTCATTTTCATTATTAGGAATAACGCATCCCCTTAATGCACATGCCAGTTTATCAGTTTTGTGATCTTGCAACCACCCGGTAAAGTACAAATATATTTTCTGCTGCTTCCGAATTCTGCAGGCCCATCATTGTTCAGGTGTTGAACCATTGCCTCACATGTCAAATGTCTCAACCTGCCTTTAACCTATTTCTTCTCAAGTAAATTACAGAAGTTTGGATAAGAAACGTTCACGGGCTTATTTGGACTTGAATGTTTCTGAAAAGGGAATCAAGAGCTTTTTGTCTTGCACTCATCGGAGCAAGCAGATAGTCAAATGCAGGTGATCAGAACAGTTTACATCAGAGGAGAAAAGGCTGTTGATTTGTTGGCAAGCTGACTCCAGTTGGTAGATGCATTGCCATGAGAAGCCGGTGACATGAAGGCTCTGCAGCTCTTAGGCAATTCAGAAAAGACGCACAATACGAGCAGATTCCTTTTGTTTGCAGATCACGGGTCCTGACCTTTGAGTGTATGTTATTTCTAGCAAGCATTAATGAGCTGTTCTGAGCTCAATTGATTACAGCAAATTGGTGGCTAGTGTAGCTACTGTCAAACTGGGGATTGTTAGTTAAGTGCCCAAGCACAGAATCATATGTAACATGGGGTGGCTTGTTTCAATCTTTTCAAGCAGTACCAAGTTGAGAACAGAATTCTCTGTTTTGAGAAATCAAAGGAGTAGGTTCTTTAATTCAATCAGCCAATCACTGAGGCTTATGTCCTCTGTACCTGCAATAAGACTGGAACTAAAATTCATATTTGACATTGCTCATTTGGTGGCAGACAGCTCATTGTTTTTGGCCAAGACTGTCCAACCAGATTACATTTCAATTTTATTCTCTCTTGAATGAGATTTTAGGAAAGTAAGATTTGGCAGAGCTTTAGACATGAATTTGAAAATAAATGTTGAGGTATGAAAAAAGTTTGAACAGGTTACTCAGCAAAGAAATAATGATTATTTTTAAAGATGAATAATTAATAAAATAGACCATTAGAAGTGTCATATAGCAGAGCTAACTTAAAAGAAAACTCAGCTGTGCTTTTGCTGGGGACATGGTCAGTGTGGACTAGTTGGAACGAAGGGCCTGTTGCCATGTTGTATGACTCTATGACTTAGCTTTGTGTCCCATTCTCGCTGACAAATTCTATGTCCCTCTCTTCCTCAGAGGGCCGGATTTATGTACCCTCGCTGGGTGTGTTTTTTGCGAGGGCATGTAAAATAGAGTCAGCTGACCGTGACATGTAAAATAAAAGTCAACTGACCTTGCTAAAAGCTTCACTGCTTCCAATTTTACCCTGTACGTATCATAATATAGTTAACATAGGCAGTCAGGTGGGAGTGGGCTGCCCTTTTTAATGGAAAGATTTTCCAAACCGGAGAAACGTGGGATTCCATCCTTGTGGGGTGCCCTTTTCAAATGGGGGCACACTTCAGTAGATAGTACCCTCTTAATTCCTCCTCACAAGAATCAGCTCCTTGCTCCACCTTTTTCCCCACCTTCCCAAAATGACCAAACCCTGTCCACTGATGCTCCTTACTTATCGAGGTCTGGGGCTCCAAAAATGCCCTTCTCCTCCTGAGGTCTAGCACTGTCGAGGCTGCTGGAGTTGCCGGGCAATCAGACGGAGAGCTTAGCAGCTCCTGAGGGTGGTACTTTCTCCCAATGAGGAATGGAATCCCCAGTCTGCACCAGATTTACCCTGTCCACAGTATGTTGTGGCAGTGGGATAGGCTGCTTCCGAGCCTGTTGGTTGGCTGCTGATGTTCCTTCAGGGATGCATTTCTGCCCAAAGTCACTGTTGTCTTCTCTCACTGTCAAACTCCGGCATCTCCCTCTCTCTCACTCACAGACTTTGTGTCACTCTGTCACTCATGGCACCCCCCCCCAGCCCCAGGTCCTTCTGGGTGTGGCACCTGCTTGAGATTGGAAAAGCCTTGTCTCCCTGCCCAGGAATGTGGACCCTTTTTCCCTCTCCCCTGTTCGGTGTCCAGGCCGAAGGCCGAATGAGGTCACTGGGGATCATGATGTTCACTGCTTCTCCAATCACAGAATATTTATGTCTGGCTTTTACTACTGATAGTTCATCAATCAGCAGGAGAGAAATTCCTGTTCTGAGAAAGGGTCACTCGATCTGAAACGTTAACTCTGATTTCTCTCCATAGATGCTGCCAGACCTGCTGGGCTTCTCCAGCAATTTCTGTTTTTGTTTCTGATTCCCAGCATCTGCAGTTCTTTTGGTTATTACATACCTTTTTGTTTGGAGTGATGTTATGTTGCACTTCAATGTATTCAGATCACTTCGAAAAAGAAACCTGTTCCCAAGTATGACACATGCTGCTCCTGAACCAACCAGATGTAAGCTAAATTAAAGGAGTGCCTTGTTAATGGCTCTTCATAGCAACCTTGAATGGATGCCTGATCTCTGCTCAGTCTCTCCCTGCCCCTGAAGTTTGTAACTTGGCATAGCTGGGCATTTGAATTAAATTCTGCACAATAGAGTCACTCATTTTAATATGTATAAAACAAACCTCATATTTTAAATTATGAGCTACATAACATTGGATGGCTTCTTGTAGGTTAGATGGGCTTCAGATTGGTTTCACAGGTCGACGCAACATTGAGGGCCGAAGGACCTGTACTGCGCTGTAATGTTCTATGTTCTATGTTCTTCTTTGCATTCAGTGCTGAGCAGACCACTGTTAGTTATCTTTCCTAGAGTGGATCCTGAGTAGAATGATCCACTTTGAACAATTCTGATTTTGTCAATGATTTTTACTTTTTAATTCAGAAGGTTTGTATTTTTCTTCGCCAAGTAATGAAACAACACTAGTACAGTAAGACTTGATGATAGTAATAGCAATGATCACTAACAATTGGTATTTACCTCCGCTGTTTATTGCTGCTCAATCCTGAAGTTTGTTTTAAGTAACTGATTAATCAGTTGCTCACTCTCTCATCTTGGTATCAGTGCATTTTATAACTGTTTGTCCTGGCTCATTCTGTTGATAACTTCATAAATTTGAGGTTCATGTTTCAGTGTTGCATTATCCGAAGTGTTGTCTTTTGGATAATGCATAAAATCATTGCTGAAGTGGAAATAACATGTCCTGTGATTATTCAAAAAAAGAATAGCGGGTTGTCTTGACTTATCTAATATCACCAGCACAGGTTTTCTGGTAATTATTGTCATTGCCTTTTATGGAACCTTGGTGTGTGCAAATCGACTTGTTGATTAGCACTTAATTGGTTTAAAGTGCTTTGAAACATCCTGAGGATGTGAAATATGCACCATATATTTGTGTTCTTTCTTTGACTTTTAATTGATAACCCTGCTTTTACTAACTTCTGAGTGAAATTGAATCACCTGAACAGTGTTCCAATTAGAATGCTGATTCAGGACTGAGTACACCAAGAAAAAGCAAAGAATTTTAAATCGGTATTGATGGTGATGAGAGGATATGCAACTGATTAATCAGTAGATTCACGTACCTGTAAGCATGAATGAACCAGGTAAGGCATATTAGGAGTTCAGCACAGGCCAAATATACAGTGACACAATTGCAAAGCATAGACTGGTTGCAGTGACATTATATTGAGCAGAATTTGTTTTAAGAGGATGAACCACTCTTACCTGGCTGTTTTCTTTAAAATGAAATTGTGGGCTCTGCAGAAAAATAATTGGAATGTTATTGGAAGCTCTTAGTTTCTTTGATCCATGGGAAGGTGAAAATCATTTACTAGATTTGTCTCTTTGTTGAATTATTACAACTCTGCTGGAATAGTGAAATGATTGACTGCTGGTATGTAACAGAATCAATGTGAAAACAACAGAAATCTGTGTGCAGCTTTAGCTTGAAGTAATTCTCTAACACAAAATAAAGTAATTATTTTAAAATTAAGCTTAAAACACCTCACAAGTAATGCATGATAATGAACATTTTTGTTTGAACGATGGCAATTATAATCTGTGTGCCTGCTTGTCAAGAGAGATGATCTGCATGACCTGTAACAACTGCGATCTCTAACTTGGAATGTGTGGGTTGGAATGAAGCACGTGGAATGGGGGGATACTAATCTCATTAATTTTTGACCTTTTACCTTTTTGGCAGTAGCTGATGAGACTAATCTTGATTCCTTGGCTGAACAGATAACCACAGGTAAGGATTGTCAATAACAACCCAGTTGTTGCACCAGTCTAAGTGGTGCAGCAGGAGCATTGTTACCATGACTACAGCAAACAGTCATTAAAATCTCTGAGTCGTGCATTGTGTATGTTTATCACCCTTGCTGTCTGCAGTATGAGTTAATTCACACATGCTGGTTTTCACTCGTTTCAAATAAATCATAGCCAAGGGTAAAATAAGATTTCTTGTGAAACTATGAGGTAGATTATTGATTGCAAAAAGTCAAGTAAGTACTTGGCCTGATATTTTTATGTGATGATCATTTCCATCAAATCAAGAACAAAGTTACAAACCCAGCTGACTATTAACCATTGTAAATGGGAATTGATTTGTTCGTGTGCAGCTGGAATTTGGAGATAGATTTATTCAGGGCCATAACACGGCCGGAAGTTTGCTGCATTGTTTACAGATTTAGGCAGGATTTCTGCTAAAGTTATGTCAAAGCGTGGGAGAAGCACTGACAAGATTCATCTTCATTAATAAGAGTAATTGGGGACAAAATAGTTGAGGTCTTGCTCTGTTCCGACTTTTCATTTAGGGTATGGTACTTACTACTGAAGCAACCTGTAATTCAGGATGAGAGTGAATAACACCTTTTTGGAAATACTCAGATCCTCCAGAATTTTATAGGAACAAAGGAGGATGAAATATTTTGCTATTTATCTATTGCATTTGGATTGTGATTGTCTATCAAATAGTGTTAATTTTTCTGTCCTTGGGGGGAAATGTTTGTCAGTTACTATTAAGAGTCTGGAATTACTTGTCACAGTAGTTAGAGTATTTGTACAATTCATCTAAGCTGTGGAGATGATGAGGAAGCAGAGTAACAAACCTTCTATGAAGCACACCCCTTAAGAAACATTCCAGATGAAGAAATCCCATCGGGCTCATTGCAATCACAGTTACAGTGAGATTATTTAATTTTGAAGATAATGTGGGGGCAGCGGTATAACAGCTGCCAAAATTAATAGGTAGGCGAACACCTTTTTCAACAACTCCCACCCCTCAAACCCGTGAAACCGGTCATGCTCATACTGTGCCATTAGAGTTCCAGCTGCAATTTTGGCGTTTTAATCCAAATAATAATCGCTTTTGAAATACACAACAACATTGTTTCTAATATTAGTTACCAATTTACTTTTCACTTATGCATTCAATTTATATACTTCCAATTTGTAAATTTACAGAGGAAAGAGAACTTAGAATCATTGTAGATTATTTTGATATACCTCAAGAGGAGACAGGCTGGTGCAACGGGCTGACACCTGTCAGATGAAAGTTAATACAGGGAAATGTGAAGTGATACATTCAGAAAAGAAGAATGAGGAGAGGCAATAAAGTAAAATGTACAATAAAATGATATTAGGCGCAGATGAATCTCTGGGCTCTTGTGTGCAAAGACTTAGTTAGAGAAGGGAGTTAAATTATTGTGTTGGCCAGAAATCCACTGACCATGTTCTCAAACTGAATGCTGAATTAGTGTGGCCACTGTTTCCCTGGGGATTGTTTTGGGTCTGAAACAGTTGAGCTAAAATTAAATAATGGTAGTTACATAGGGAGGAGGGCCAAGTTGGCTGGAGTGGTCTAGGTAAGGAGTTTAGCAGAAAAGACAGTTGATAAACAATGACAGACGTTACAGAACACAGTTTGTAACTCACAGCGAAGCTCTTCTCTGCACTCTAATATATGCATTTGTTTGTACCGGAATGAATCAGAATTGGAAACCTGTGCATTGGCAAAAAGTTCAGGAGAGGAGCTCTTTGCAATGTGTGAAACAAAAAAATAGCATTAAAGATAATCCTAGAATGTTGTTTCAAGCTGAAACAGGAAATTAGGACAATGGGGTTTGACTATAAATTAATGAAAAATAAATCTAAAACAGATACTGGGAACAATTGTTTTATTTTAAAAAGTGATTAATGTTTGAATTATTCTGTCAGGAATGTTAATAGGTTGTAGCATAACTTTTCGAGTTTTGTGCTTCATTAGTCTAGTTGTGTACCTCTGCATTATGGGTGGCATTTCAGTTGTTTCATCATAATTTTACCAGCACTTGCAGATCTCCTTTCCTAAGGCTTGCATTCTGTGAATACTTATGGAAGATCTTTTCTCATCCAACATTTTAGATTTAAGTTAATTTGTTATTTGTCTGATCTAAATCCTTTTGCAAATCTTTTAAGTCCTCATGTCTCTTCTGCTTCTCTCTATTTTAGTGTCTTCAGCAAATTTTACATGCTTACATTTGCTTTTGATATCCCAGTCATTAACGTAAATTAGAAAAAAATAGTATTAACTCTCGTGGGACTCCACTTCATACCTTCCTCCCAAATCTCATTACATCTCTCTTGTGTATTCTGTTTTGATACACAGTAGCATTTTTGATGGCTGTGCATATAAGTTGGATCACTCCCTCTCCTTAGCCAAAAGCACGGTTCTATATTGAAAAATGAATAATAGTTGGAAGACAGCGGCAGTGCTCAAAAATTACTGGATTTTTTTTGCTTATATTGTGTTGACTTTGACTTGACCTGAGTTAAACCAAGATTGAAGAGGAAATCTTACTTAGAGCACAATGCCAATGGTTTGACTCTGACTAAGCAAATCTTATTTGCTATTGCACATTGCTGTCAGCTTTCTTTTTCTCCCACATAAGCACAATTTTTAATTTTCTTTCTTAAATGTAAAAGCTGCAGCTGTTTGTACACCTTTTACTCAGTAATGCTGCTGTCAGCGTGAAGTTCATGTCCTGTGTAACCCAAGCATTGATCTTTGTACACTAAGAGTTTACTATATAGCATCACCATGGATTCTGCAATGAGAATTATAAAATGGGTGGAAGAAAAATGATCAAAGTGAAATGAGGAGAATATTTTAAAGGCAATGGGGACAGTAAATTTTTATTCACCGTTACTTTTATAAAAAGCATTGGACGATTTATAGTTTCACTTTAAAGCTTTTATGGGGCCACTGTACCATTTAAACCTGAATCATTGTACTGTCATTCAGTAACATTATTTTAAAGAGGGTTTTGTTGAAACCACATTTAACATTACCAATCTGAAAAGGATCATTCATTTATATTTTCTTTATTTATGTAAAGTATGTAAGATAATTCAAGTATGATCATACTTGGCAAAACATAGCTCTTTTTAAAATGGTACAGCTAGGGCAAATGCAAGAATCTTCTAGTTCTGTTTGTTAATCAGAAACATACAAATCAGGAGAAGGAATAGGCTACTCAATTCCTCAGGCCTGCTAGAACACCTACGCTCGGTTCGCAATAAACAACTGCACCTCCCAGTCGCGAACCATTTCAACTCCCCCTCCCATTCCTCAGACGACATGTCCATCCTGGGCCTCCTGCAGTGCCACAACGATGCCACCCGAAGGTTGCAGGAACAGCAACTCATATTCCGCTTGGGAACCCTGCAGCCCAATGGTATCAATGTGGATTTCACAAGCTTCAAAATC